AGGCGGAGGCGGAGGCTTAGGCTTAGGCGGAGGCGGAGGCGGAGGCGGCTTTACGATCTCAATGCTCTTGATGCATCCACAACCCTTGCAGCATAACTTGTCCCTGATCTTCTCCGGCGAGCAGCTCACCACCTTAATTGTCACCTTGTTTGCCTTCTCATCATACTTCTGATCTCGTATTTCTTTAATTAATTTGTTCGCAACACAACGACTCAGTTCATTTGGCTAATCAATTAATATATTGATATACGTATACTTACACAAATTATATATTAATTAATTAGGAGAGAACAATATTAATTGAAGAAAGGGAGTCATCACCAGGAAATTTGCAGAGAAGTTTTTTGATCTTTTTGTAGCATTTTGAGCACTGTAGGTCCACTACATTCAGCACCATTGTTGTCACCTGTAAAAGTATATATATATATATATGGCATGCAGCATCATTATTAGAAAAGGAATTTAATTTCCGAACAAGGATTAATTATGAGCAAAATTAAAATTAGGGCACTATATATATGCATCAAACCAAAATACGTAACTATATATATATCCTTAATTTTCATCAAGAGAGAGAGGCATAACCGGCACATAAAAGAAAAAAAAAATGAAGTAGCATAAATTTAGCACAAACCTTCTCGGCCATGGCTGATATGGAGAGAATTTAGGCCAAGCTGATTCTTAATGAGTGGGGCGGACAAGGGAGTGGGGTCTGGTTTCTGGCACTAAGAGTAGTCAATTGTACGTGCTGCCTCTTATTAGATTTTAGAGTAGTCAAAAAATGAAGTAAATGTTAGATTTTCCACAAGTGGGTGTAATCGGGCCAATCCCAGTCTTCGCACGTGCTGCCTCTTATTACTTTCACCTTTTCATATAAAGCTAATCAAAATCCCTCCTTAACTAGCCCAAAAAATATGAACAGGCACATTGGATCTAATATTTTATTCTCAAACTTTAATGTTTGCATTTAATTAATTGAGTGTTTTGATTCTTATTAATTACTTAAAATATTTTTCTTTTCATTTTTTAAAGGAAAAAACCCCAAAAAATATTAAATTATATAGCAAAATCCTAAACTACACGCAGAGGTAGGGGGAGAAAAATAAAGTGAGAAAGGACAAAACTTTTGTTGACCATTTTAAATATTTTTTTATGAAACTAGTTATTTTT